CCACCAAAGTCTACGGTGAAAGCGGAAGCAGCGCAGCTTCCTTCTGAGGATGGAAACATCACAACCCGTTCCGGTCGTGCTGTGCGMCCTCCACAAAGACTTATTGCTGAATAGAGCAAAAACTGACTTTGACTGTTAAGTTTTTGAACCTGTTGCTTTCTCTGGACCAGTTACGGAACATGGTCACATTTATGTACACGGACTCAGTTTGTTTACATTTAGTTTACTGCATGTAACCTGTAAGGGAGGTGTAGTGTTCGGGTACCCTGTGTACCGCTGCCTCGTTCTCATGTAAGTCGTGCTTCWAGTGTAAATACTWATGGMGGATTAAACGAGTTCAGTGCCGTTACAAATCCAGTCTGTCTCTTTACTTATTTCGGCCATCGAACAACACACATGCAGCGGTTGCTATGGAGACCAGCCCACATTATGATGAGGCAACATTTTTACATGTTGATTTTGAATGTTGATTTTTTTTCCTAATTTTCTTCTCAAATTCCTATGATAACGATGGGCCACCATACTGGAGAAGAAAGTTTACCTGCTCTAACTTTGATTCTTGTTTGGATTGGCTCAATAGGAACTACATGATTTTCACGGGCAAATGGATATGAATGTTTTGCTTTATGTAAATAATATTTGACTTTTGGGTATCTTGATTAATTCGAATTTTTACTTCAGTTCCCATTGGACCATTTATTAATCTATCAGCAATGTCTATATTTGTTGTCAACATAACTCTGGCAGTTTCTTTAATAGTAATTTGAAAGTCTAGTCCACCGGTTTCTGATTTGCTCCTTGATAAAACTCTGTTAATATCTTGTTGACAGGATATTGGTCAATTGTATTTAGAATGTATTGCTCTGCTTGCATTGTGTTGATCAACAGGTTGGTTTTCTGCCCAAACATGTAAAATATATATCTGCTTCAGTTTGGGAACATGCTCTGAATCTGTTCAAAAGCTCAGTGAATGCTTGATCATCCTTTTGACGCATTATCTCAGTCAGCTCAATCATTTTAAATACACACCATGGATGGCATAAGTAAAATAATTCATTTTTGTAATCCTCACCAGTTGGGGCCAATAAAGCAACTTTAGGTTTATCAGGTTGCATAGGGCCATGCTCAAAGGTTTTACAGCCAAACCTACTGAAGCGTTCCTATCGAGGTTGGAAGGCTTGATTTATTATTCCAAATTTGGTTCMAAATTTATATTTAAACATGCAAAAACAAAACCGGCAATGTAAATTTCAAATCTGACGTCGATTTGAACCTCGATTCCTGATTGGATTATTCCAAAAATAAACAGTACGTTGCATATTTCAAAAAAAAGGCGGCGATGAATAGTCTCCAGAAGCCGTACACCCCAGGAAAACCTTTATCGATTGCTGAAAGACAACACACTATACAATTATTTAACGGCGGACTCACAAAAACGGAAGTTTCTGAACGGCTTCGCGTAACTTTTCGGTGCGTAACAAACGTCATGGAACATTATCGTCGGTATGGATCTGTCAATCCGTTAGGACATAGCGGTAAGCAGCCTGTTGTTTTGACAGATGATATTCTGGAGCTCATAGAGGTTTGGATGCATCAGGAACGATCCTTGTATGCTTCTGAGATAAAGGATAGGCTTGTATTGAAGGAATTTGTCACATGCGCATCGTTTTATTATTGGAATAATCCAATCAGGAATCGAGGTTCAAATCGACGTCAGATTTGAAATTTACATTGTCGGTTTTGTTTTTGCACGTTTAAATATAAATTTGGAACCAAATTTGGAATAATAAATCGAGTCTTCCAACCTCGATAGGAACGCTTCAGTAGGTTTGGCTGTAAATGCTGTTGAGAGAGCAATGTTATACCATGAGAGAGCAATGTTATATGCATGCCTTTGTTTACTATTCAGTGAGCGAAAAAAAAAACGTGTTTATTCATTTGGGCAAGGAAACCGCAGGGGTGTTTACACAACACCTCATATCTGTCAGCATCATGTCATTATGCCTGGCTATTCTCGGGATATGCTTCTTTTACAATCATTCTCGGCAAAGGTCAAACTTACAGCTGAGTATCCTCTGAGCTCTGAAAGTACGTTTTATTCCAAATTCAAATTCCAGTTTATAACGAGTTTATAACTATGCCCAGAAGATGAAGGGAAGAATCAGTCAAGGAATCAGTAGGAAACGGGGAAAGAAGCGAGCTTTGAACAAGTCCCCGACAACGTGTCATAGAGGTACTCAAAAGTTTACTGGGCAACCGGGCCATTCCTTCTCCTGCCCAAAATACGAGCCTTTGACTAGCGGAATTTCGCTCCGCTGAAAACGGTCGTTTTGCCTTCTTTGTCGCCGAAGTAAAAAGCGAATTTCGCTTCCGTGACAACATCTGAATAACTATTTACAATTAAAGTATAAGCTATTGACTATATACTATTAAAAAGATCGAAATTAATAAATATATACACATTACGAATGTTATTTTGATACTTATTTCAGCAAGGTTACTAGGCNTCAAATTAGAAAACTCCATGCAAATGTTTCTTAGCTGAAATTTCGGTTACTTTTTTTGCTGCTTGAAATTAAGGAAAATGCATCAAGACCATATGAATAATTTTGAATATAAATTTGAATACTGATATTAAAAACACAATTCAATTTCATGAAAACTGACAAATATAAAAAGAAAGAAGTAAAGAAAAACTATTAAAAGTATTGGAAAATAAAAATATTATGTGTGTCCAATGCAAATTCCTTTTATATCACGATAAAACACTGAGAAGTCTGGATTTAAAACAGGATTTTTTCAGTTGCACAATTCTTGTTTGTCAAGATTCAAACTTGCTGAAATCGGCGGGTGGAACGGAGCAAACACCAGCCAACCAATAAAGAATAGAAAAACTCATTACACAACCTGTCTCGCTTTGTGATCAAACATTCGAAAAACTATTTGAGTTAGCACTGGAAAACCATTCAAATGCTACGTCAATTGGTGACAAGAAACTGTCTCCTTGAAATCTATAAACTAGAAGGGTAGAAGACCATTGTGCTACACCGTTGCGAACTTGTGGAATGCCTGCAGAGGGAGATCGCCGATTGGATTTTTGAATTGGCTTCCAAGCAAAACCATTCAAACGTCCTTCTAAAACCATTCAAATGTCCATCAGAAAGCCCTTCAAATGCTAGTTGGTGTACGGATCAGCTTCATTGATAGTCAAGCAGTGTAACGTGAGAGTTCATCAGCTATTTTTTTGCCAAGAAACATTTCTATTTCTATATTTTTTCGCCGGACAACATGTCGGGGCAAGTGGTTAGCCCACAGACTGAGATGGTCAAAAGAATCAAGTCAAGACCTGCATGGCAAAGTTTGTTGACTATATTTATTGCTTCAGGTATTACAAATCAATTTTTCTGCTTAAATCAATGAGGCGAGGTATCGGTTTGTGTAACTCTGAGCCGCGGGATCGCGCAATCAGGCTATTTCATATACATAGAATTAATCAATTATAAGGGTACGGAAGATAAAATAATACACCTCAAAACACAAATATTAGGACACGAATTTAGTTTTCTTTAAAGAAACAAAGACGCCAAAAAAGAAATGGTTTAAAAAATCGGTTAAACCGAGAATAATCACTGACAGTAGACTGAAATTCATAATGAAAATCTCTTTAGGGCAAAGCGAAGGGTATCTTTCGCACAAATAGATGGGTGTTCAAACCGCCGTACCATAGTTGATATAGTTATAACTATGGCCGTACATACCAACCACTGTTGTCAATTTACCAACTACTAAAATAAACGAAGCTAGTTGTGAATGAAATTTAAGACTAGTTCAAAGTCGACTGATACTTTCATTGAAGATTTTCATTCCTCTAGAACATGTAGAATATTGCTTTTTGTTTTTAACGGAATTTAAATAAAATACTAATACTCTTGTCAAGCCAATACTATACTATGTGCACTTAAATATTCCGCGCATTTTTTGTTGTTTTGTTTATCATTTTTGGAAGCGATTGCAAAACAGCACACCTATGTGGTCAACGCCATTAATTTCTCTATTGATTGATTATCTTGATGATTGGGGAGTTGGTTGGTCGATTCTAGTAGGTTCGTTGTTGGGATATCTAGATGGTTTGTTGGTTCTCTGTGGATGGTTGATTAGTCGATTGCTAGTCGATTCTTTGGTTGGTTATATGGGTGGTTGGTTGACTGATTGTTTAGCAATTTTGTTGTGCCTGATCTCTTTTTCGGTCGACTGTTCGGTTGGTTATCTTGTTTGTTGGATGATTGCTCATTTGATTAGTTAACAAGTCGAAATTTCGCATGGTTGTTTTGGAGCTCCACTGATCGGTTGGATGGTTGATTGGCTTGCTCGATTATTTGGTAAAAGGGGCTTCTTCACTTGATTGGGGTGCAGGGGGCATGGGAGATAACCTGCACCCCTTCTAGAAGATTATCTTGGATCTTCTTGGGTTGGTTGGCTGTTTGATATTCCATTGTTTGGTCGTTTGGTTACCATCGTCAGTTTGATTGTTCAGGTTTTTGATTGGTTGTGTAAGATTTCGTTACATTTCCATATATAGAACTGACATCACCATAGAAATCGGCGCACCTCGTGCGATAGAATGTAGAACAGAGAGAACCAGATCTAGAACCCGAAACATGTACACTTAGAACCTTAGAACAATTAGAACCACATCGGAAAAAAGGAGTAGTTGTGTTAGCAAAACATTGTAGAACGTGTACACCAA